GAACCCACTGTGCCCGCTCTGCCTCCCTCCCCCCCTCCTCTCGCCAGCTCTCATTCACCCTCAACACCTCCATCTACTTTCTGCTTCGGCTTGTCACTCCCGAATAACTTGGATTAAGATCATTACAGGCTGTTTCACCGACTCGCCCGTCACCAGCTGCTTTTTTAAATGACAAATATGATAGGGCCCGAAACACAAGGGAGGGTCCTTGGCTGGAAAATGAGATACAAGATTTATCAGAGGTTCCTGGTGTTTGTCAAAATTGAATCCTCTAATTTTAATTGCTCTCGACGAGGTGTGCCGCTCGGGGCGACACGGGAAAAAAGCAGGCTCTCTGTGCTGTCCCCGTCTCCGGCCAGACTATTATGTTCCATTGTGCAAAACGGTGATTACGAAGGGCTTTATCCTTGTCATCTATCTTATTTAGAATCATTTAGGAAGCCGCATGCAACAAAGAAACAGCGGTCAGTCTTGTTATTATGTGCATTTGTGACGCCCGCTGCTGAGATCATAGGCAGAACCAATCCACCAAAACACTTGCTGACCCTTCTATTAGAAAAGAAAAGGTGTTGGCAGAGTTTGAAGTGACGGAGGGAAAGAGTTCAAATGCTTTCTAAATAACAGTCATATCAAAGGAGGAACAACACCTGAAAATATTGGTGCCATGTTGTTGAAGGATTAGTTTGCAGATTGGTTTGAGATTTGATTTTGTTCTGTTATAGCAGCCGAGAAAGGTTTTTTAAAGCTGGGGTACCTAACTTCCAAACAATATGATTAATTATGTAATAGAATCCATCTAACTTAAAACAGTTTGGTTCTATCACAAGTTTTCATATGCAAGTATTTTTTGTGGCCTTTGTCACATCTCTAGATCAGATTTGTCAGACAGAAAAGGAAAAAAAGGGAAGAGCTCCCACACTCAGCCTAAAGCATCAAATAGTGACTCACAAGGTTCTTTCTCACACATTTTTTTTTAAAGATGAAGATGTTGAGGTCTTATTTGCTCACCACATTTAACTTTTATAAGACTCTTTCTGTTGGAACAAACAAAATGTATAATTTATGAAACAGCAAAATAGATGGCTTTAAAGACATAAAAACTAGACAACTTTGTAACTGTTAATTTCAATGAATGAATGATGCCACATGGAGAGTTTTATCCTCCTTATATACCAAAATAACCTTTTCAGCTAATTTTCTCCATTTAAGTTTAATAATGAATGACTAATACAACATTTGCTTGACTAAGATACCATCAACTAAATCCTGTGAAGACCTAGTAAAGACAACCTTTACCTATGGTTCACATGTTATATGAACTTTAGGTCCTCCTCATTTGGTCAGAAGTGTTTCTCTGTCAGAGCAGCAGTGGCCTGGAACTCACTGGGACAGTTTAAACTCAGCCTAAAAAACTGGCCCAAAGAGAATCAAGTCTGTAGTCATTAGTCAGATGTAAATAATTGTGTGTTGTATATTTTGTATATATTGTATTGTGTCTGTGTGATTTAGAGCTGTATTTTACTATAGGATATTCTTTATATTTATCAATTCTTTGCACGCTGCAAACCTGCTGTCACGTTGCCTCTGCCTCAGGGACTACGGATGAAAATTTGCTTGTAGCTTTGTCCGGTCTGAACAATGCATTTATTGTGCAATGTTCCGGTCAAATAAACAAATAATAAAATAATAAATAATAAACACGCAAACACGCATACACACACGCATACACAAACACACACACACACCAAGAACCAAGGCCTTAACAAGGACACAAACTAACATTTGCCCAAAGCACTAACTATACATATACAGAGACCGGACTCTTTTGCTCTCTGCTCTTCCAGGCTGTGAGCGCGCTGGCATCTGTCCATAATATTTTAATACTGGACTATCCCGCTTAAATCTGAACAACATGAACAAGAGCTGAGTCCTGTGTGGATGCTGGAAGAGATGAATGGGTGTAATGTGGCTGCAAAGCTGATTCCAAAAGGGCTTAACTGGATTACACCTCATTTCAAGGATGCTTAAGGTAAGATTAAAACAGATACGTGGTAAAGTGAGCAAAATACAAATTCAAATAGACCCAATTTCACTCTCTAGTCTTTTAAGCCACTCTTCATGACTGTCTGTGGGCCAGTCTGTACAACACATGGACTGCAGAACCATCTGTGATTTTTTAATGTCTTTTAAAGAACAAAACACAGACAGACACACACACACACACACACACACAGAAATATTGAGTTAAAGCCAGGGTAGCTAACTTTCAAACCGCATCTATAAAACCCATGTAACTAGTTCCTCGCTCTCAAAGCCGTTTGGTTCTATCACAAGTTTTCACATGCATGTTTTTTAAGATCATGCTTTTTAAAAATAGTAGACAATCATCTCTCAGCCCAAAGCGACTCACAGGGCTCTTTCTTACAAGTACAATATAAGAATATAAGATGAAGACAGCATGTTGTGGGTTGATTGTTTAGAAGTTGTTACATTTTGAATACTCTCTCTGTTGCAAAAACAAAGTTACATACCCCAGCTTTAAGTTAGTTAGCACTGTTCTATATGATGATGATAATGTCTTTACTTAAGTTTCATGTATTTTCTACATCGCAATAGTATTTTGACACAGATGTGAGCCAGTGTTAATGGACAAAATGGGAAAGGTACAAATCCAAACAGTTTGTTTTGGAGGTCAGTGAACTGGTTTAAATCAATGTTAACATCTGACAATATAAATATACTCACTTCTTTATTTGTCAGAAATGTTGTTCTTAATTCTTGCTTCTTCATTACGCTACATTTGGAGATGTTAGACTTGATTCTTTATTATGGTAAAGTTAGAGATTTTATTCTAATTTAGTATAGAGCTATAGTTGATTTATCTTGTGCTGTGTGCTCCTAATTCTTCCTGCTTTGTAACTAGTGATGCAACACTGACATTTTCCAACTGTGGGACGAATAAAGGATGATGATAATGATTCCCAAGTGTCATGATAGAATAACATAACTATGAAGCCTTTTGATACCCACCATTTCTATTTTTGACTTGTATTTATTTCGTAGAGCACAATTATTAACATCTGTAGACACAGTAATCTATCTATATATATTCCAGAATATAGCAAAAATATATAAATTAGGTATCAATACCTTATTTTTATTTTTTTTATTTTATTTTATTGGACTATGAGTCCGGAATAAAGTTGAATTGAATTGAATTGAATACCTGCTATTGTGTTGAGACAGGGGAATCTCTGCTAGTGGGAATCCAACAACCAGTTACATTACTTCCTCTTATAACTCGCCTGCTCAGATTTATGTTGCAATTAAAATATGTATGAAGAAGTTTGACATTGATTTCACTCTCATGGGCAAAATAAAAATTAATAATTCAAAGACTTTTCTGTCTACCGGACCATGCAATTTCCCATTAATGCCTTTCTTATCTTATGCTCCAAATCCCCCGAGCTGCAACATTAGAACTCTCTAATCACGCACTTTGGCACATGCACAGAATACAGCAATTCTCATGCAATCTGGAGAGATAATGAATTTAATACCAGCTCTGCTATTACCCTGGACTAATGTTTGTTAATAAGCAGGCAGCATATGGAGCTAGGCGCTCAAGCCAAGTGGGTAATTCCTCGGTTTGGACAAGCTGTCAGTAAAACAAATTTTGTGGACCTGGGATACAGAGAAAAGCTGGGGGTGGTTAATCCTAGTCGCTCCAGTGATCCCCATACAAACCTGTGAATGTATTGCTAGAAACTTTGGTAAACAATTGTGTATATGCTTTTGTATTGAGTCCCACCTACCCTTTTTAAGGACATCCTCCCTTCGGTTCGTCTTTTCACTCTTCATCACCCTGTTGCCAGTGTTGCAACCTACAGGAAAGCCAAACAAAGCTGAGTAGTAAGGTGTCAGACTAGACCAGGGCCCAATTGTAAGAAATGATGGGCACTGGGTGTGGGTGTGCTGAAGGAGAGTGAAACGTGTGTGCTTCGGACTGATTAGACAGGAAGGCTGTGTGAGAATGGAAGCGAGGATTAGCCAGCCATCAGTGTGGGCTAGGTGCTGACACCACTCCACCCTACCAAGGGCTCAATTTACCAAGGGATCAGACTCATTTATGATGGCCAGGGATTATTATCAGTTCAATAGGGCAATTTCCTTATTACAGTAACCCCCTGACCTAAGCAATACAGCCACTTGTGAGACGTTTAGAGGTTTGGGCACTCACAATTTGTAGTAACAGCATTATCAAAAGCCAAATGACCACTCAACTCATGGACAAAATAAGTTGAAAGTAGGTTGAACGTATGAAATACACTTTTATGAAGTTAGAAAGAACGTGAGGCCCTGCAGCTATAGATACCACAACCATCAGGATGTGGTTTATAAAGAAAAAGAACTGTACAACTGTCTTTTAAAGTACTAATTTATGTATTTGCGACCAACAACTATCATCTTTATTCTTATTTTTTAAATGATGGTTAATTTCTCTTTAAAATATGGGGAAAATATGGACGTACAGTGGACAAAATGCATTCTCCAGCTGCGCAGGTTGTTTGTGCTGTGCAACTATTGTCTGTCTTTAGTTTTGTAATATCTAAAAGCTGGACTATATAACTTTTAAACTACAAACAAAACCTTTACCTGCCAAACAGCTCTCAGTCCAAAGTGTCAAATAGGGACAAATGCGGATTTTTGTAGCATGTATTTTAGCAAAATTAAGACAGCATGTTGTGGTCTGATTTGCTCACATTTTACTGTCATATGATTCTTTCTGTTGGGATAAATTATGAAGAGTAAACAAATATGAGGGGAATTGCAGTCCAAACCTTACAGACCTTTATCAAAACACCAGAGGTTGGATGGTGAAAAAGAAATGTATTTACCAAAATGTATTTTACAAAAAAAAGGTACCCCTGCTTTAACAAATATTGCGGCTCCTTGTTGTGCCGAGGCGTACGTCAGTGGCGTAGCTCCTTTGTGAATAGATGCGCTACGCAGGCGGTTCGCTGCTTCCGTACAAATGGAAACTTCCCCGCTTCGTCTGTAAACCACTGTATCTCAGTATAGCGTGCTTTAAAAATACAGACAAAAAACAATGACTATGTAGAAGAACTTACGCTCTCGTCTCTATCTGACCGCGTTTCTTGTATTTTCCTTGTTCGAAAGCCAAAGGTAGGTGCATCAGCTCCACACGTTAGCCTGCTATAAGCTAGCTCAGACTCCAGACTCCAATGAACTTACAGGGATGAGCTGGGAGCAGAGGAGCAGCTGGGTCCTGTCTGGGGCCACTGCAGCATGTGTGGCTGCCCTCTATGTGCCCTGTGTCCAGAGGAGCGTACCCGGGGGAGACTCAGGTCAGTACTGTGTCCGGCGAATGAATGAATGAATGAGTGTGTGTGTGTTTACAGTCTATGATGTGATTAGTCCAGAAGAGAGCTGGTGCTGTCCGTGGTCCTGCTCAGCCACGGCTACACTATCACAGCTTATAACACTTATACACATGAGTAATAAGCTCATTATGTGTTATACGTTGTAATGGTTCTCTGATAACTTGATGGAGGTGCAACACCATTTGCAAAGGCTTTAGCAGTTAATCGATTAATCACAACTAATTGATGATAGTTGTCAACTAACGCAATTAATCGTTTTGTTGAATCACACACAGATTAAAACATGATGTGAATCATGTTCGCTGTTCATTGTGCAGAATGGGAATGTGTAAAACAATATATATTGAATGAAAGGGGCAACAGTGGCTCAGTTGGTAGAGCATTGGCCTTTGGGCCTGAGGGTTGTGGGTTCGAGCCCACCATGAGACCTACTTCATGACTCCCACCGATGTCTGCTATCGTTGTGTCCTTGGGCAAGACACTTAACCCCACTTTGCCTGAAGCCCCCTCTGAAAGTTCAAGGCTCCTGTGGACTCACCACCTGCTGCAGGATCAGTTAGGGGCTGGTGCTATGTGGACTGGGTGCAGCTCTGACTGCCACCCCCCCCCGACTAACAACAACATTTAATGTGTTAGTTAAGGTGGTGGGGAGACATCCCTGTTCCGGAGCCCACTGTTGACTTTGAAGACATATTAATATAAAAAGAATATGTCAACATAATCTGGAATAAGAACTAAATTAAACTCAACAACTTAAGTAAGAGGATTTTCCAATTGTAACAACAAAGTTTCTACTACAGAGCTGAGGTAAAAACATCTCAACGGCCTTGTTGTCATTTAAGTCTTCTTCAGGTGGACCATTGGTGCCTATTTTCATGCAGGCTGAAAGCCCTAACAACCAGAAAAAAGCTGTAATCAGGCATTCAAAAGATCCATGCACTCAAGTGTAATTTTAGCTCCAGAGTTTTATTTTATTATTGTATTCTATTATCTATTATCTTAAATAATAGATCCTATTTGAAGTATGCAACTTGAGTGCGCAGGTCTCTTAATAAAATCCATGTCCCTGTAGTTCCTGGCTCTAAAAGTTTGGTTCTTTCACTATTCACATGCATGTACAGGGGAAATTATATATGCAATAAAATATAATGGCAGCTTATAAAAAACCCAAATAAAACTAAAAAGAATGAAAGATTATTTTGACAAATGGATTGTGAGTTGGGTTGCTAACTTGGGAACAGAAAAATTAGGCGATGAGCACTTTTTCGTTGTCCTAATTTCAATCTACACACAAATCATGGAATTTAATTTTCACAGTTTTTAAAATGTAATCATTTGACTACATATAAATAAAACAAATCCGTAGTAAAAAATGAAATGAAATAAACTAGTTTTCACACTTTTTGAGAGCTGCAACTCTTTGGCAGGTTAAGGACTTTATGCATCCTTATCAAGTTATTTTCTTTGACTCTTCTATGAATTAAATATATATTTTAGAGGTTTGACCATAGCCTAACAAGAATTAATAATTTCTTAATAACAACCACCGTGCCACCATAACATTGGTGGCACGGTGGCTGAGTGGATAGATAGGGTTCGAATCCCGGTCGGACCAGGGCCTTTCTGAGTAGAGTTTGCATGTTCTCCCCATGTCTGAGTAGGTTTCCTCCGGGTACTCCGGTTTCCCCTACCACTAAAAATATGTACAATAGGTCTGGCATGCGCCTCCTGTACTGGCGACCCCGCTCCCATCTCTGTGTGGAGTGAGAGGACAAGTGCCCCAAAAGTAACAACTGTAAACTGCTTTGTGACTCTGGTCTGTGAAAGGCGGTATATACAGTAAATAAAGATTACTTACTTACTTACAGTTACATATGCCATTTCAGGATTTTATAGGCCTGTATTGTTTGTAGCATAAACATACCAAAACTCATTCAAATGAACAAATGAAGAAAATCAGAACTCATTCCACTATCTGCCTCTGGTGATGCTTCAGGGATGAAGGATTGAGTGACTTGGATCTGATTTGCTCTTGACTTAGTGGTTGTTCTCCTGCCGCATGCTGTCGTATCTGACAGACCCCCGTGAGAAACAGAGAAGACACGGCGGCAAAAAGTACAGTTTGCTTGGTAGCAATTGCTGTTCACACTCTGTGGTTAAATGGGATGGTCTCACTGATTCTGAGATGTTTAAACTTTGATTACTGTGTGTTGTGCGGTTGATATGCAGTGAGTGAGGGATGCATTTAAGGCAACTCTGAAAACGATCTGACTTAACGATTCAATACAGGACACACATCATTTTTCCAAAATACGGGATGATTCTGTATTTCAAGGGACGGTTGGCAACCCTAATTGTGAGCCATAATTATCACAAACAAACAAAGGCTTGACATATGTCACTGTGCATGTAATAAGTCTACTGTATATCAGTTATTGGTTTCACATTTTAAGTTAAATTACAGAAATAAATTGATGGATAAAAGTGTTGTCTTCTGTATGAATTAATACGGGGGATGGCTGCGGCTGTAAATTGCCAAACTGTTGTTGTGTCCAAGGCACTTCACCCACATTGACTAGAGTGAGTCTGGTGAGTGTGTGTGTGTGTGTGAATGATTGGTGGTGTTCAGGGGCCGAAGATACATACTGGTTGCCTTAATTCTTTCAAAGTGCCCCAGGGCAGCTGTGGCTACTGTAAAAGTTTTTCACCACTGTGTATAGAGTGAATGAACAATGACATGGGAAGCCTCCTTCCAAAACTATAATACATTCAAGTAATTAAGCAACTGTTTCAGTAGTCCATTCATTATTTGAACCTTACAGAAATGAGAGATTTGGGCAGATTTTCTTGCAGTGGAATACTGAATGAATGAGTATGTCATAGTCAATAGAAATACTAAGGTCCTAAATTGTCGGACGATAATAATTTGATTTGTTAGTTTGTGATTATTTTACCGGAAATCTACCCTGTCTTTCCTTAGACAGCTGTCTCCCATTTATAGCTCAAGTTTGAAAAAAGTTTAAAAGTAAAACATTTTCTCGTTCCCATGCTGCGTCTCTTCTTAACTTTCACTTTTTCCATAGTTGTAAGCCTATGTTTCATAACAGTAATAAGTAATTTGTCCAGTGCCTTCCAACATTCTTGTAATGCAGTGGTTTCTGTTCAAGCTTTTCACAATTACAAACTATGTTTAGAAGTGATAGCATGAAGCCTCTGCCTGTTAGGTTTGTGCTGCTCTGGCAGTTGAGCTACAAAAGGGAATGCACATTGGCAGTGAAAGCACATGAAAGCTCGGACTGATAGAGAAGTAGTGAAGAGGACAAGTGGCCCTGCTGCTGCAGCTGTCGACTGAACGCTGCTTTGAAAGCGCGGCCAGCCCCTTCTCCACAGCGTTTAGGGATGGTGCAGGATGCCCGCTCTGATAGTGCCAGCTGAACACCCCTGGAATTCTCCAGGTCTCCGTCTCTGTGTCCTAATCTCTTTAGGTGTGCCGTGCCCTAGAGGGGCTGGAGCGCAGCCCTGCGGGGACGCTGTTGTCTAGGAATGTGAGTGTGGAAATGACGGGGATTATGGCAGACTGGTGTGGGTGCCCATGCTCCTCTATCACAAAGAGCCTTGGCACCCGTGCAGCTTCCCCGTCGACTCAATATTTTCTCTTTTGGTATTAGGGCAGCAGAAATGCCTCTCTGTGGTTCTGCGATGGCAGTTGGCTTGCTGTATGCTGGAGCTGCTGGGCTTTGAGCTAAGTGTGCCATTACTGAAGGGAAATGAGTGAGACGAGGAGGCCGGATGAGAAAGTGTGATGTAAAGTGATGGCAGCTGTAAAAAGCTTAAGTCGCACAGGTGGAGGAGCTCTGCATTCATGCCCCATTAAACTTCACACACAAGTAGGCCTGTCACGATAACAAATTTTGCTAGACGATTAATTGTCTCAGAAATTATTGCGATAAGCGATTATATTGTCGTTCTGAGATCATTTGCATCGATTACAATGATCATGCAGGTACACCTTTACAAAGAGAAATAAACTTTTATTTTTAACGAATATTTAACGCTAGAACACAATAAATTTACAAACAACCAAAAACAATAAATAAAATACTCAGTCTCTTAACAAAAAATGACCAGGAATAAAACTGCCAGGACCTTTGTAAAGAAAATATGAAACAGATGCCTCAAATGTCAATAATTTCTCAGACTTTATGGCAGATTACGAGAAAGAAATACCAACATGTTGATTTTGTGTGGTTTAAGACAGGATCTCTCAGGAGTAGTCCCACCTCCCCACACCAGGCGAATGACAAGTGACTGACATGTGGGTTCACCAATGGGGCGTACAGAAGTCCTGCTGCGGTAGCGCCCACCGGAAGTAGCGGGGCGGGCTTTGATGCTAACAGCTAAGCTAGCGGGTTTTTTGTGTAAAGTTCTACTCCAAGAATGCAAGTCTGCAGCATCTCTGTGTTCAGAGACCTTCTAGAGACTTTATATAACAGCAGTATGTGTTCACGGAGGTGCGCCATAAGTTTATTTTATTGGTATGGTACGGTACTTCTGCATCGGCGAACACGCTAACGCTAGCTGCGCTAGTATAGTCACTAATCAAGCCTGAATGAGAACTCAGCTGCCGGCATATGTTCACAACTACTGTGTCCCCCATTGTCAATCCTGGTTAAGTCCTGGTTTAGGTCCTGTTTTGGCTGTATTTTGTATTTTTGAGTAATTTCCGTCTGCTTGCTAGACCGCTAGTGTTCCCGTGACCACTTTGCGGCTCTCTGACCCGAGAGAGACGGGGAAACAAACAAGCTGCAAATGGGATTTATCGCGGCCAGAAAAGTTATTGAGCAAATTTTATTTATCGTGCGATTAATTGATTTATTGACTATCGCGACAGGCCTACACACAAGTGCAGTCTGGACAAGGCACCACCAGTCGTCTTTTCAAAATGCATTTTTGATAAGGACAATATTGTTTGTTTAACATGGCGTAAGCTACAAGCAACATTTTACTTGGTCATGATCTTAGTATGTTTTTCTCAATAACCAGGAGAGGGAGCTGTGCTGTATTTGAACATTATCAATGTCATTTAATCTGAACAAAATTTCAATTTTCATGAGTGGGAGAGACAAACATTGGGTGAGAAATCAGAGTAATTTGAAACGCTCTGGATGTATTCTGGCACAAATGGGTCTGTGCCCAAATCCAATAAAGCTCCACAAATAGCTTTTAGGGCTGTTCCCTTCAGTCTTTGCTGCACCTCACACTGAGCGCGTCATAAATGTGCAACCTGCTATATTTTAATTCTGTGAGTGTCAGCAGCATCCTTTCTGTTGGGCCCAAAGGACTGGGGGAGACATCGAGACAGTGAGTGTGGGAGCAGTGCATGGGACTGCACGCATTATTCTCACATCAGCATATGTGTGTCTTTGTGTGACAGAGCATAGAAGAGGCAGCCTGCCTAATGTTTAGTGTGTGTGTGTGTGTGTGTGTGTGCGCAATAAAAAGAGGGAGGCGTCTGGGGAGAGGGAAAGATGAAGAGAATGAGCATGCCGCTTAGGAAATGTCACACTGGGAAGATTTGCAGGTTTTGATCCTGGCAAATTAATGCAAAACCCCAGTGCAAGTATTTGATTTGGGAAAACTTTGGGAGCAGTCTTGTCTCTTAATAATAATGATTGGGTTTACATTAATTTCCTCCCTATTCTGTTCCACAGGAGAGCTGATCACTACGGCTTGTGAGCTGGGGGTAAGTATTAGCGGTATTGTTTAATCAATTCACTCATTAACTCTTATACGCATTAAGGAAGTTTAATTAAGCATGGGCAGAAGCAGATTAATTTACTTTCAGTCCACAGGTTTCCCCCTCTTTTCCATACACTTATTTTAGTAAGTTGCAAGTAGAGAATGCTATAATTTGCAACCCGTTTTTCAAATCCAATTAAAATCAATGGTGAGGCGATGGCTTTTGTAGGCTTTGCCTTATGTACGGTATAAGGCTTATTATATCCACCCCTCTTTTTGTGTGTGTAAGCCGCAAAGAATGAAGTAAATCGGGTTACCAGTTATAATAAGTTTTATTATTTAATAAAGTTTATTACGCTGCTGTGATCCTTTTAGGGAGCCTGTGTCGGTGTCACTATGCCAGTAATCCTGTCGTTAGTGCTGCAGTCCGTGTGGCCTGTCTGTCTCCTCTCAGGCCTCCCCAGGGCCTGGTGCCCTCTCTGGACCCAGACCTCCAAAGCTCCAGTCTTCTCCAGTCTGTGGCTCTGCTTCTTAGCACTGTGCTGCTGTGGGGCTCTGTGCAGCACACTGCTCACCTGGGTTTGGATGGATTTAGGTTTTATTTTGATTCATATATGTTATTTCTTTTTATGGACTGATTTGTTCCATCCACAATGTCCCTCACACACTGTGTGTGGAGGTGACCAGTGCAGTCCTGCTCTCACCTTTGTGCTCAGTGTTATTTGAAGAGCGGCCTTCTTCCTCTGGTTCATCTTATCAGAGCAGAGAATGAGCCTGTGTTTAATGACTGAGCGCTTATCTGCACAAGGAGACTTAGCGGCTAATTGCTGTGATTGCTGAGCTCCCCCAGGCGACTGCCACTGAGCTCCGAGGTGGTTTGGGGCTGAGGCTGGTGCTCTGCTCTGTGTGGACTCTGGGGATCTACACTGTCCTTGGGAAGAGGCCAATGCAAAAGTACAAGAACAATTTGATGTTCGAGAAATGCTACTTCATAATCTGAGTTACAATGGCCCGACACACACCATTGCTTGTCACATTACTGTATAAAGATAATCTGACTACTGACTACTATTACTCTCTCTAAAAGTCTCTGGACTTTCTACACTGTGTACTTAACTTAACTTAAATTATGTTACTCTGAAAACACTAACTATCCTAACTAACCATCTCTAAACCAACTTTGAATAAATTGCAGTGGCAAACAGTTTTCAGAACAGCATTAAACTTTTTGGGTCAAAATATTTCATTATAAATATGCATATTCCTAATAACTAGCGATGTACGATCCAGATTTTTCACCTCAACCTCCGTTCTAACTAATGGGCCAAAAATTGGGCTTTCATGGAGTGATTCAAAATGGTCGCGGGGGCTGGAAAATGTGAAAAAACGCATCTGCGCATGCATCAGCCGGCACGAGCCCCATTCATCTAAACAAGTGACTTCAAAAGGGAGTAAACTAGAGTGGTCCAAAAAAATTCACTCCCCTCAGCATTAACACACACGTGGAACGGAGCTTTGGGCCAAGAGCCAACTGTTTTGTTAGTTCAGGTTTTTCAGACAGAAAAGTTTTAACATTGATAATCTGCCCTTCTGTGGTGAATAAAAGTATTTGGTGATTTGTGTTGTGCTTGTAGGTTGCTCATCCACCAGGATACCCAGTCTTCACTCTCCTATCTTGGCTGTCTATTCGCCTTCTGCCGTCGCTGTCACCTGCCCACAGCGTCAACCTGATGAGCAGCCTGCTGGGGGCGCTGGCCAGTGGTGTCCTCTGTCTTACTGTGTGCAGGTAAGAACTGGCCAAGTCCGTGAGTGCAGTGGTACCAAAAAAAGTAATCAATATTTTATAGTTACTAACATCCAAAGCAGTGACGTCAGTGAAAATTAGATGTATTGGTCTTGCAGTGGACAGACAATTTTGTAGTATAAAGTCATAATTCAAATGATATGAACTGATGTAAAAGAGATACCTCCCTCACTTTTTACTAAAATAAAAAGCTCAAACGTATCACAATTCTTGTTCATTATATTAATAACAGTCGGAGAAAAGAACTATAAACCATGATGTCCCCAGACACATCCCCAGTGCTCACCAGATATTAGAGATATCTGAAATATCCAATTCTCACAGTACGCTCCAGTGGCTGAATAGATAGCACTCACACTTTTCAGAAAGAAGGTCCTGGGTTTGAATCCCGGTCGGAACGGGGCCTTTCTGAGTGGTTTGGTAGTACATTGTAGAGACTCTCACATAGTATTGTAAAATAGCTCATGATGTTGAGTTTATGATGATAATAACAAACTTTTGCGTATGCCAGTGACCAGGCCATTTACGGCCACATTTAGGGCTCATGAAACCCTAAAACTTTGATCACTTGGTGCTTTTAAAGTGCAAATTTAAGTCACAAACATCAATACACTGTTTGGTAACATTTAGTCACAGAAATATTTCTTATTATGTGCAATGTTCAAGTTAAGAAGCCACTTGCACAACTGTAAACATTTTGAAATGATTAAATTACATGTATTCCACAATGTACCAGGTGATTTCTTATTCATTCATAAATCCACTATGATCCTGCATGTTTTCACACTGTGCAGAGTCACTGACTGATGTCCGCTATTTGTCTATCCCCTGTATTTGGCCACTCCATAATTAACTTGTTTACTATTCTTTTTTTCTTGAACGAGAAAATCACAGTGGAGAAGCAGCGAGGCAGTAAACTCATGGGCCATATTCACCAGAGCGGTCTTGAGCCGTTCCGATCCTACCTCAGTCATTCACTCTCAGAGAAGTCTTTTACTGCCAGAATAGTGCCATGTTCACCCTCCGATCAGCTGACATTTGAAACCTTCCTAACTAGTGGCAGTGTGAAAACAACCTTTCTCTACTGTAAAGGTCACAAACCCATTTTTATGGAATTGTCTCAAGAATACTCAGAACTGGACAATAATCTAGAGCAGAAAAGACGCATCACTAGAACTATCGAGACATGTTATTTTTAGGGGGCAATATGAATCCTTGTGTGCTGATGGTGTATCTTTTGGCCTGACAGTGACGGTCCTGATCCCCTGTTTAGTATTCTCAGCCAGGAGCCGGGCATCGGCGTCTGTCCCGGTACCTGCCCTGTCTATTTACTCATCAGCCACCCGGAGTGAGCAGACGCCTCTCTGTATATCACAATTATCCAGTCGTACAACCCCCATTTCCTCATTCCTCATTCCTCATTCCCCCGTCCCACCCCCACAGCCCAGCAGGCTGTCTGTCCCATCATGGCACGACTTGTGATGTTTCCTCACATTCTGCTTCCGTCTCATTTCAATCCTCAGCCCTCACCCTTTCACCTTATAAGACTCTGTGATAGAAGTGTTGTCAACTACCCTGCAATTTGTCCTGCTGCTGACCCCGCTGTGTTAAGTATTCATCTTTTTACATACGTGTAGTGTGTGTTGCCTGGCTCCTCACACCTCCATACAACAGCCGTATACTGATTTCAAGTCATGTTGGGGCTTTGTTGGAGGGAAGACTTCTCTTTTTGTTGCTTTTTGCATCCTACCATCTGCACTACCTATTGTTAAGTGATACACATTACTTTCCCATCTATTTATCCCCAATTATATGTGACTCACAGTTCACTGTTTCTCATGGAGCAGGGGTATTCGAATATGCAGAATCTTCAGGGTGCTATCGTGTAGACAATCACTCAATTGTTTGTTTTATCTCTATACTATCCCCAAACAACTCACAATAAAACATAAATCTTTTGTCATTGAAATGTACTTTAAAGTTATGTTGGGTCATACAAAACAGGACATAGTCAAGACAAGTGTATTATATTCAAGGGCAACTCAAAGTGCTTGGCAAAACAAGAAAGGAATCATTAAAATCAAACACAGATAGATAATCACGACACATTAAAAAGAGTGAATTAAGCAGAACTAATCCAAGCTTCACCAGAACTAACAAGGTTGTATGTGGCATTAGAGCGTCTGGTTCAAGTCGTGTAAAAAAGGGAAAAATAGGCTTTTAACAAGAAATGCTCATTTAATGTAATGTATTTCCATTATTTAGTCTCTATATTATGTTTACATTTATCCATGCATCTAAATATATATGTATACATTTACATAGATGTTATCCTATATCTTATTTATAATAAGATAATTAAGTATATTAAGAGATTTGTGTTATTCTCTTATATTTCAGCTGTCTGAGTGCTCCTTTTATTCCTACTGTTTGTATTGAGCACTGAAGGTTCCATATTATACAATTATAAATAAACTAAACAAATATATAACACCTGATTAGTGAAATGTAAGTGTGTATTGGTGTGTGTGTGTGACAACCCAGTGACACATGATGAAAACAATACAATATAAACATTGTATAAACAGTTTCAGTTTTAAATACAGCCCACTATTTATCCAACTTACAGCACAAAACAAGTATTTTTGGTGATTTTATTTTCAGGGGGATGAATATATTGCTTTTAATACAAGTAGTTGAAAGCAGAGTAAATTGTAAAAGCTTGAAATTCATCTGGAATACTCCCAACATGGCAAGCCTTTGATGTATCAATTTAAATGAGTGGGCCAGATTGCTGTGTTTAATGTGGGGGAATGTAAGTTGATAGGCTTGGAAGCCAGTTCTCTCATGAGTTTAAATGTAGCACTTAGCTTCCCTTTGATTTGTCAATTACAGTTTTCTTGGCTTGATCATGTGGTTTGATGGCCAAATTGCATGTCTTGTTATGTTTTCACACCATGGTCTGACAAGCCTTTGAGGATGCTGGACGTAGTGATAACTGCTATCGATTGCACTTGGAGGTTTCCTGAAAAACACATATGGCATTAAGAATGCTAAAGGCCTCCGCCACGGCTCTTGAGAGGAAGGCTGTCTTTATGGCAGGATAATCCCGATAGCTTGGCGTTCTGTGCCCCTCGTTTCTCAGTTTATCTGCTAAAGCTGCTGACAATCTCTGCTACCTGTGAGGAATCTCTTCCCATTCTCAAGATTATCCTGAGACAGCAAAAACCCAGACCTTAGCATAACGACAGCTGCAAGAGCGAAACAATCCAAAAAGGCAGACGATCAGCAGTCTGTCTGATCACATGATTACATAACTGGAGTTACCTATAAAAGGGCCACTGCCAAGTTCTGATTCACGGTAAAGTGAATCAACCTTCCTCGTCCTGAGCTCTTAAATACAATCCTTCCCCAAATAATCCATTCCCAAATCACTCTATGTCTTCGTTACTGAAAACAACTAACAGCACTTCATACCCCTCTTGCTAACAGAGAGCCCTGATTGACAGTGTCCAGATTTTGGGTTCTCTCCAGTAGTTCACATCTTGTGGTGAACCGTCTGTCTAGTCTAGGGTTTTTTTTTATTTTGGTGATGCTGAAGAGATAAGATAGTTCCACACAGATAATCTGACCACACCGAATGTTTTAATTAAAACAGTGAGAAATTGGCCATATTGATTCTACATTGGCTGTGATGGTTTCAGTCATGTGTATGTTTTTATTGTAGCATGGTCTGTGTGAAAATCCGATGGGGGGGTCTCCGTTTTAGACTTTGTTTGACCTTTAAAGCAATGTGTATAAAATCTAGCAACTATGAACTATGTTATAGGGCGACAGTGGCTCAGTTGGGAGAGCATTGGCCTTTGAGCCCGAAGGTCGTGGGTTCGAGCCCACCACAAGACCTTCTCCACCGACTCCCACTGATGTCTGCTGTCGTTGTGTCCTTGGGCAAGATACTTAACCCACTTTGTCTATGAGCAGCGCGGAACTGATGTTCGCTGCTTGCCTTGATGTGTATGTGTATATGTATATGTGTATGCATCAAACTGAAATTTCCCCGAATAAAAGGACCTTTCTTATCTTCTCTGAATTTAAGATGTGTCTTGGATACATATTGGGCATATGTACAGACAACTTTTTCACACATCACAATTCCCTTTAAAAATTGTCAGAGAAAATGATGTCTCTACTTGTAAAACATTTCCTTTCTTGAGATAAAAATAATGATTACAAGTGGCAGAGACAGTGCCCTCATTTTGTGTTTTTAATGCACAAGTCAATTTGAGTTTTGTCTCCTTAAATAGAGCCCAATCTCTGGACCTTTTGTTCCATTCTTTCAGTATCTCATTTGTTATATTGTAGTCCAACAGACCCCCATCGTCAGCATGACCAATGGTCCCCCCAGGACTCATCCACTAATACAGTTAAACAGATGTCTAATGAAGATGTTATTTCCTCATTACTGGCTACGGGACGGGGCGAGAGCTGCAGAGGAGGAGGCAGAAGTGCAAGATAGACAGCCGAATATAGTCACACTTTAATATTCCGTTCGCCCGTGGGCCTGAGATTGTGTCTGCCTTGGACGTCAATATCCCAACTCTCCCCAACCACAGCCAGCCTTAATAAGGCAGCGGGCACCAAGGCGGATCAGGCTCTGCAATTACAATTCAGGCAGAATTAGTTAATGGAATCTATACAGCTACATTTATGTATCACTGGTGTGCGCCTAATGACTTTGTTAGTGGAGGCAGCAGCAGTAAAATGGTATACAGCGAATTGCATAAACATAGCATTTCTGCAAATTGTTTCCCCTCTCTCCAGCTTCCTATAATTTTTGTGTGTCGGCTGGAGATTAAGATGGCATTCTGGGAAAAATTGTCATGTCAGTGGCTGCATTGTTTGAGCCGAATTGCGGTGATTAATTTTACAGTCACTGAAGCATTCTCCTGGAGGAGGGTTTGAGAGGCAGAGAGTCCCACATGGCTCACCGTAACCAGGGCAGCGGTAGTGGGATGTAAGCATCATTCACTAATAATGTTTTCTTTTCGTATATTTATTTATGTGCTTGTCAAAATGCCTATTGAAATAAAACAACTCATTTTGGAAATGATAACCACTGTGTAAAAAAACCCCAATTATAATTTGTTTTAGTTTCTGTTAACATTTTTAATTGAGGTTCTTTTATTATTATAATAACCATAACATTTATTTGAATATGTTGCTGTCTCTTCAGTTATAAAAGAACATCAATGCCTGCTTTTGTCTGACTCAAAGCCTTTATACAAAGCTTTCATTTCTGTATCAAATGCCTGGCTTCAGAAATCCAAACACCATATGATACACTTAGCAGTTCCATATAATAGCTGCTAAGTACCCTGCTGTTGTCCTGGCCAGAGGAGAGCCGCAGGGTGTTATCGCGGGCCAGCTGGAAACCTCCGCCTCCGAGCAGGCCACCTCCTCCACGGGCTCTCTACCCTCTTAAGGAATGTGTGATTCCTTTCCAGCGCTGCCTCCCCAAACCTCGGCTGGGTTAGACTACAGAGGCGCGCTCATCTGCAGTGGCACGGCTCTGCTATTGTCCGCTCCCCAGGGTGGTGTGTGACAGTCACTCTTTTGGCGTGCTCTTTTGTCAAGCCTCATTCAAAACACTGCTTTTTGTGTTCTGTTATTTAGCACAGGCGCCTGGCACTGGCATGGCTCCGCAGCGGGTCAATGAGACAAGACCCATTTGGACTCTTGTGATTTTTTTTTTAAATTTGCCCTTTGAAAACAATAAGAATTCTGTTTCTACATACATGATGTTCTATTGAACTTATTCCAATAAGGATTTTAATAAAATGTCATTATTGCTATTCACCATTTGTCTGGAAAAAATAAAGATCCTCATTTTTTTCTCATTCTGCTCTAGCTAATTTTGAAATTTAAATTATACATTTTTTGTATTGAAATTTGCGCACAGCGTTGTGCAAACTTAACTTATTTATTAAGTTAATAAATTAAATTCAAATCATATGAAAGCACATGCTGTTTATTTCTGGCATCGTTCCATTCTTAAAACTGGTGCGGTAGGAAAAATTCAACAAAATAACTTTAGTGAAACTCCTTTACTCAGATTAGGGTGCATCAGAGATTTCTATTGGCCGGATCTGCGATGGCCAAGGAGATGGTCGCCGCAAAGCAATGGGTTATGACTTTGGTGGATATTGCATACTTAGAACTGTGCAAGGGCACACAGTATAAGAGTACCACTGACATGAGGAACAGCTGTTTTTGGTTGTACACATTTTCACATTTTATTTTGCGTTTTTTCCTAAAGATGTGAAAATAAAACAAAACTTTTGTTGTAATCCCTAATTAATGATTTTGTATTCAAGCTGAGTTGTTAAGTATTTGCCACTCTATTTTGTGGTGACAGACAGTGTGATTGAATCCTGTAGTTGTCAGTTGTTATTCTCTTCAGGCCATTGTCACTGAGCCACAACATTTTAACACAGCGCCATCCAGCACTGCATTGAGTCGCGATAACAAGGAACATGGCCACAGTGGTGAGAGGCGATGTCGTGCTTTATCTGTGTGCCCTGGGAGCAGGCTGCCTGGAGAATGAGCTGTGGAGCAGCTGAGAGGCAGCCTGGGGCCCAGGTGGTCCCTGGCTGACAGACAGGTCATTTACAGAGGCACTGTACACACATCACTGAGCTCTCCCGCTCTGACACACTCTAAAAGAGAGATTTGTCAGCCACTCAGGGAGAATAAAGGAGTGCAGAAAAAGTATATGTATGTTGCAGTGCATTTGTATGAGAAAGAGTGAGTGCTAGAGCAGACAGGATATCAGATGCCAGAACACACAGGGTAATACCCCATGCCGGGACCCCCATCACTCCTCTGCACCCACTATGACCTCAAATCGCCCCCTCTGCTGGAATTATAAGCCACGGGTTAATTGTCATGCGGCGAAGCAAAATTATGGGTGCGGGGTCTGTGCACCTCAACAAAAGTCCACACTTCCTTTCTTCATCCTCCCCTCAACTTAATACTAATTCCTGAAGCGGTGTGGTGAGAGAGTAGTCGCTATCTCTTATTAAAAGCCACTCCTAGACGGCCCATCAACACAGCTGACTAACCCCCCTCCCGAGCCCTCGCTGTGAGCAGAGAGAAACGGTGGTGAGCAGCAAAGAGAGAGAGAGACGACCCAAGAAAGAAGGGGTAGGAGTCAGCGCACAGGACTTTTCTCTCTGCCTTTCTTGCTCTCCCTTTTTCCTGATTTACTGTGCTCTCTTCAGAAAGCTCCATTGTTCCCCTCGCCTAAGTCTCATCAGGCCTTTTGTGGCTGACTATCACAGCGGCAGGCAGAGAGCTGGAAATGTATAAATGGTATCATGCCTTGTGATTAATGGCGGTGCTTATGAGTCAGGTCTGATAACGGGCTGCTCTCTACTCAATTTCAGATACCGTTAATGGAATCTGTCTTGTGCGATTGTAATGTGAGAGCGCCTAATTTGCTATGGAGCTTGAAGCTGTCACCGGCGAGGGATTGTGGGGTCATAAGGGACCTGGCAGCCGTTTGGCCTGCAGCTTGTATCTGCGGTGCTGAATAGAGCAGCTCTCTGCCTGTCAGTTAGCTGATAGGCTGATGAGGACTCTAAGCCACTCCACACAATGGCGGAAAGGGCCATACTGCCTGACTTCCCTAATTGTCGAGGCTGCAGCTCATATTTCCGAGCCAGCATGCCGGGGACAGGGCTGCTTTTTATTCCTTTTTTCCACCCGCTCTTCCTGAACTATTCTCTTACTTTTTGTGAATTTCATCCTTCATCTGTCTCACACCCTACAAACGCACACACCCCTTTAACGCACACTTTTTGTCGCCCCAATAATTTGTGGCATCCCACTCCCCACTCTCATTGGAGTAAGCGGTGGGTCTTAGCGTATGACAGATTATCCCAAGTTTGCTTCAATTACTGCAGAGGAGATGGAGACAGAACAGGAGTGGATGAAGGCCATATTTCTGTGCTCGCAGTATATTTAAGAAGTGGAGGATAAAGTCATATCTCCCACATGGCCATTTCTTCGCCAGTCTGCCCCAGATCAACCAGCTGCAAAGGAAAAGGCTCCAGTGATACAGGAACATTTCAGTTCACAATGTTTTTCAAGGTCTCATCCAAGAAGCAAACTCGGGCCGAGGGAAGATTAGAATGCGCCTGCAAACGAGTTTGGGGAAGAGGCTGCTTCTATGGCTGAAAAAAAAATTAAATTATACGTGAAATGACCATGAAGCTTTTTGCTGAAGTTTAAGTTGGAACAAATGGAACAGATAAAATGTTTATTATAGTTCAATGAAATGTATTTTCTCTTCTTTTCCTGAAACTTTTTGGGCAGGTTAGAAGGCCCGGTTCCTGGAGCAGCTTTGGCTGGAGGGATGTTTGCTGTGTCCAGACTGACCTGGCAGTGGTCCGTGGTGGCAGAGGTCTTCACTCTCAACAACCTTTGTGTCGCTCTGCTCTTCTTCTTGTCGGCCAGCTTTCACTGCGCTGAAAATGGCAATCAAAGAAGAAAAGTGAGCTGCCATCAACGCTATTTTTGTTTTGAGTGATTATTTCAATTGACTAAATCCTCACTGTATTTTCAGATCGCACATTTAGGGGCTTTTTGCTGTGGCTTTGGGCTCTGTAACCAGCACACCTTGATTCTCTATGTTGTCATAATAATTCCTTGGGTGCTGCATCGTTTATTCTCTGAAAAGGTAAGACCATGTTATGTTTGAAATGAAATGTCTGAGATTTAAAGGGAGTCTATGTAATTTTCTCTATTAATACTCTAATACAGTCATCATCCAGTCCACAATTTGTTGCTTGAATCTAATGGTCTGTGACACATGTAGCTCCTAAGCACTGATTACTGATGCAGACCACCTTCTGGGTTTATCTATAAATGTTTCAAACTCTGTGTGTAATGTATGACTTTAATAACCTACATTTCATCTACCAAACTGACAACCCAAATGGGAGCCTCATTCTGCTCTCTGACGGGATACGCTTCTTAAAAATTGTAAACATAAATATTATGGACATCATGTGTATTGTATTTTTCATTAAGAATAACTGCAATTAAAACTTGGTTCAGAATGGGTCAATAATGATTTGTACATCAAAAATATTACATACTGTGCCTTATAAAGACACCTATAAAGGCACCTATCCGATATAAAAAAGATGGACAAATATTGTATACAAGTTTTATAGGACTTTCTTGAAATGTATAAATACTACATATGACAGTCAAACAACATACACATTCCATTCCAGATTGTATACTCCAAATTATACATGAAAAACCATGTTTAAACGTAATTTATTCAAAAAGGGTGAGATTTGTTTGATGCTTTCATAGTCAAATCCAACACAAAGTTGATAGTAATATTTTATATATCAAATTGTAAATGGAAAAGCATGTAGAGCAAATGTATAAGAATTCATTACTAACACTTGAGAGATAACACAAGTCAAAATCTAGAGATTTTCACTTTAGGCCTATATTCTGTAAAACAATGGAAACATGTGATGTTAAAAATGTTTGATTGTGCTGTTCTCAATTCTACAAATAGAATTAACGTCCCGATATAAAAGATTGGAAACATACTCGTAGTACTGCAAATACTGCAAAGTACTAAAAGTCATCATTATGAGGATCAAACAAGTGAAATAACTGCTATTTCATACTTATTTCACTATTACATCATGGATAATAATAACTGGATAGGGTATTACTAGCTTATAGCTGTCCCACCCATGGGCACAGGGAGCGACCGTGGTACTAAATTCTACTAAAAACTAAATTCACGAGGGCTACCCAGAAAAAACCCCCATAGAACTCAATGTAAACTAAAACAGCTCGACCTCAGCTGACAGAGAACCTACAGCTTTCATGAAGGTCGGATTTTGTGGGGATTTTAGTGTCCCTTGTCATCCTGAACTTTTTTTCCTCTTAAATCCTTCGGTTTTCTTTAAATCCACACTTTACTGCCACAAACTCTGCTTGTTTCTCGGAACACTCGGACGAAGAGTTGCATTTTTGTCGCATATCAGCAGCATATGTATGACATATGATGGATTTTATATTAATTTTATTTTGTAAAACTCCAAATTATACAAAGACTGAGTACAACATAAAACACTCCTTTCTGTCATATAAGATGTGATGTGACATTTGTGTCACATGTGCAACTTTTCCATACGGGATTGCACACATTAAAGTGGGATGGTATGACATGTTCACAATATGATATGACTGATATGATCTTGAATATCTTCCTATTTTAATGTGCTCAACAAAAAATATTTACTTTTTAACAACTTCTGTGGCTTCTTGTTCTGCCCTCACTTGGTAATTCTAGACAAGAGATTTAGGGATAGGAATACGTCAATATTCAAAAGAAAGTATAGATTGCATCCTGATTATTGACACTATTCATTCAATTATAAACCAGAAATATGGCCAGAAATGTACTATTTATCAACTAACATTTTCTTCAGAAAGCCTATCCTCATAGTAATGAGTTGGCGGCTTTTATTATCATGGTTACTGTCCCATCCTCATTGCAGGCCGATCATAAAAATACTGTGCTGTGCAAGATTCAGTATTAAAGTTTGGGTATCTAAGTCTCAAGCTACAAAAAATGGAACCATGTAAAACAATCCACAAGCGACACAGTCAATTATCTCTCAGCCAAATGTGTCAAATGGTGACCGATAGGGCTCTTTCGTTACAAGTATGCTATAATGTAAATTGTTTTCCTTTTAAGAGGCAAAAAGTATTTAGTGCTCATGTTTTCTGGTCGGACAAACGACATGTATTGGGGAAAGCTGGATACCCCATTTTTAAATAAATCCTGCCCCAGCTTTATACAGTAAGTGTTCTTTGTTTCCAGGCGCTCTCTCTGCGCATATTTGTGAATCTGGCAATCTGTTTTGGAGCTGGTTTTCTGCCCTACATCTACATACCTGTGTCCTCTTATCTAAATTCTGCCCGCTGGAGCTGGGGAGATCAGACCTCTCTCTCTGGCCTCCTGACGCACATGCTCAGGGCTGAGTATGGCACTTTCAGTTTGGTATGTATATTTGCTTTATATGGACATGCTAGTTAGATTTTACTATTTAATTATGTATTTTGTTTTGGTTTTAGGCAAAGACTTCAGGCTCTGTGAATATCACAATGATGCTTCAGTAAGTGTATTAGACCTTCCTCAAAGTTGCTTCTGTTTCTGTTTCACTGGATAATTGTCGATAAATGCATTAGCTTCATACATGTAGCTACAGTATGTAAGTCATATGATATTGATCAATGGACTTCATTATGAGTTTCAGAGAATATTTTGTGGTATTTCTCATTTCTGCTGGTCTGTGACAGTAGGTGTATATGTGAAAGAATATAAAATTTAGAAACACTGTCCTAAACCTACATTGTTATCAGAGATACAGGTGTTTAGCTTGGACCACGCTGGACTGTTAACATTAAGTCATTTGTGCCACCCATCTCCTCTTTGCCTCTGCTCCTCACAACAGCGTTTGTTCTTCCCATTTCCCCATCTCTCATGAAAGCTGGAGTGAACCTGCTTAGAGCGCCAAATCGCTGTGTTCTGTTTCTCCAGCAGTTTGAAATGATCACTCAGCTCTGGTGTTTAAGTGTGACAAGCTGTGATGACAGACTCTGCAATAGAGCTGGAGAAATTGTATTTTTTCACCACTCTTGCTCCCCCACCTCTATCCGAATCCCTCCCTGCACCCTTCCACGAGCGCTGCCACCACAGTCTCATCCCTCAGCTGATGGGATGGGGTGCATGTACGTCTTAAGGCCCCCCACTATCGGCCCCCCTCTGCCAGGCACCCACCCTTCTCTATCACCCCTGCTGCTTGATGGACAAGCACACCTTCAAGATGGGAGAAAGAGGCAAACATGACAAGCATGTCACAGTGAAGACGTAAACCCTGTGGAGAAGCTGGCACATTCTCACAGACACACATGTGGGAGCACTCACGTAGTGTACATTGAGATATAGAGACTCAATAATCTGTCAAATAGAGATGGGTATTAAGGAAAAGGCAGAAAGTGTGTGCTCTGTGACTGACAGCAGCTGTGAGGAGCGGACGGGGCAGCGGGTGGTGGATGACACAGTCATTTGTATCTGTCAATCCCATTGAAAGAGGACACGCACGTCCTCAGAGTTTGTTTTGATAGAGTGGCCAGTTCATAATTGGTGTCCTTGAGTTTTGCAGCAGTGGAAGAAGTAATTACTTTGGTTGGGACTTTTTTTTTACTAACTTCACAAAAAATCCTTTATATGTGTTCTAGAGCCCAGCTGGATCACTTCGTGGCAGATCTTTCACTTCCTGTGCTTGTATTGGCAGGAAATGGCCTTGTTCTTTCCATAAATAATACGTAAGAAAATAAATAAATCTATAAACGATAGATAAGTTCCTCTTCTTTTTTAATTAGTGGAATGGCTGATATACTAAAACTGCTTATGAATCACAGTTTGATACAGTTTCAAACTCGGCTTAAATATATCAATCATGCATTTTGTTTCAATAAATGACTTCATGAAATTAAACGCAATGTTTCTAAATGGGCATTTTTGCATTTCAGAAAATGTGGCACCATTTCCTTGCTTTTGACTGCTATGCTTTTGATTTACTCATTGTTTTTTGCATGGAGAGCCAACTTAGATATAGGCAGACCCCTGCTGCTTGGAGTGGTAAGACCATGTCATAATGCGTTAGTAGAAATGGACATGCATTCACTCTTTCTCAGGTAAAACAGGATTCTGCTTTGTCCTTCCCACCTGCAGGTTGAGCGTTTTTGGCTACAAAGTGACGCTGCGGTGTGTTTGCTGGCAGGCCTTGGCCTGAATCGTACCTGCAGTATTTTGGAGAGGAAACTGGGCAATGGCGCATTATGGAAGATCGCTGGGTGGCTACTTACTATCACTCTTCTGGTGCATATCATTCGCACAAATCACAAGTAAGCTTCCAAATGCTTTTCTACTTGCAAAGATTTAACATTAGCCAGAGTTTGATGCAAAATATTGTGATAAGACCTTTTTAAAAGGGCTAAATCCTCATGCAAGTTTAGTCAACCTGATTTACTTTACTTTGGAACTTCATACTGCAGGTCTGAACTCTGCATGTCAGGTTTTCGCACTCACACCGTGGTTCAGGCTAAAGAGAGGCACGGTTAGCACATAGATTCCACTGCATGAGCTCAGTCTTAGATGTTGGCTGTCCGAAAAGGCAGATTACTTTAGCGTAGAGCCAGTAAATGCCAGACAGCCATCATGGAAGTGCTTTGATCAGAAGGGAGTGCATGGCCTATGCTGTCTCAGCCATCACACCTGTCTGCCTGTGATTAGATAGGCAGCCAGTGCAGTTCAGCAGAGCAAGGGGCGGGGGCACTGACAACTTACCTTCCCAACACCTTGATGCATACCTGAAAACTCAAACCCGTTTACACCAATAACACTCTTTTCAAAGCAGGGAGAAGACTTCCAACTATTCTCAAAGTTTAACCAAAGACTGCTTTTATGTCTTACAGTACTTTATGTCTCTGATTGTAGGGAATGTAATCTCAGTACAAACAGTGTGGTGGAAAAGTTTGGCCTAGAGTTACTTGCCTCTGTCCCCAAAAATTCCATTATCTTGACCAGAGGAGATCTTCCTGGGAACTCTCTGCGCTATTTGCACTACTGCCAAGATGTGCGTCCAGATGTACGACTTGTGGATCAAGAGGTGAGCTTTGACTATGGCTATTACATACTGTAGTTACATGTACCAGTAGTTTTATTTTTCTTGCTCATATACTGTTAGCATATATGGGAGATGCAAATAACTGTTGTTCACTGAAGTAAAGTGAAAATTAGAAAAGTAATTCCTAAAATCAGTTAGGTCTATTTACTTATTTAGAATTACCTTAACGTAAGGGCAAGATTTGTGTCAAGATTAGCACAAAATTATATACAAATATAAAACCTACAAAGTCCGGCCCTTTTTATATAATGTGAATATGTGAATTGTCTGAAGAAATGGCATCATAAATACTTAAATACCACAAATAGACACAGTTTTAGTTGAATGTGCTGATGGTTAAAACAGCCTTTGCTGATTCATGTTTTTGCCTTTAGATGATGACATACAGTTGGTACATTGCCAAACTTGGACATCACCTTGAAGGAGTGCACTTCCCTGGCCGCTACTGGGACCCAGTGGAATCGGAGGAAAAACACACTTTCAGTTTAAAAAACTTCCTCTTACATAATCCACAGTAAGTCATTCTGCAACACAAGCCCAACACACAGGCATGGAATAATATGAAACCAAATGTTCTAAATTAGAGATAGTATAATGGGTGGGCCTAACATTGTTCCCACTGAACTAGTGGGTGATTAAATAAGCCAGAGATGTGTAGACCTGTGAGTGAAAAAAGAAGATAAGCTCAGAAGGCCGTTACAGCCATCAAAGTAGTTTGATGAACCAAAGAGGTCACCTAATCTGCTTGATTTGGTTAAACAGCCTCTGATGGGCTCATTTCAGCTCTCTGCTCTTATCCATCACCCCTGAGGAGAAATGTGGTCTGTGAATGCCAAGCCCACTAGGGGGCAGTATTTGCCAGGCCAAGATGCCTACATTGTGCAGGGCAACTGTGACCTAGGGGCTCTGATACACTGTCATCATGTTCACCAAAAGGTGCTTCTAACTCTCACAACTCTTTACAACTTTAAATATTGTTTTTGCAGAAGAGATGTGTTTGCCTGTATTGGCTTGCCTGATGAAGACCAGAGCTGGGTGCAAAGGTTTTCTCGGTGGCCCTTTGGTGTATGTGACTTCTTAACGCCTGTTCAGAAGAAATTTCATCCTGAAGATTGGGCTCAGCGCACTCGCCACATCTACAACTGGAGTGAGCCACACAACAGGTATGCCCATTTCCATGCCTTTATTAGGAGTCCTTTTTAAACTTTATTTTTTCAGTCATTGATGACTTTTTGTATTAGTTTATTGAAATGCATAATATAATGCAAATAATAACAGTATGGATGAAATTTTGATCACAAGCATCTCTGAGCTCTTTGTGCACTTTGTCTCTGTGTGCATGCCTTTGTCTGTGGACAGACAGAGCAAAACATTAGGCCTTTGGCCATATGAAATGAGACTTTTGAAGGAGAATAATGAGTTTCATATTGCATTTTGTCAATAGCTGTGTCAAAAGTGGAATTAGTCAAAGCTCTGTATTCACTGGCGGTTGCCTGAAGCCTTTCATTCACTCAGATATCCACGGCTGAATACTGTGACATTATTCTGCGCACATTCATGGCAACCATGTCCACAAGACCAACAACTCAAATATTAGCTCCACAATCCTTTTATAATGTTCTATTGAAGAAGAGGTCAGACTTCTACACATAGGGTTGTGTTCTGTTCCTACAAATTATGTTCTAGTGGGTTACCTATCCTATCCAGAATGTGTATTGTTTTGTGCATTATTTTTTGTTTTATATGTACAGAAATAAAATCAATTAAAAACCCCACATTGTTCATCTAAATAGAAAACATATGAATGTTTACATACATTTAAGGCTTAAATGAGTCACCCCATGAGGCTTTGGGCTGATCTAGAGTGATGGATAATGCCCCCTTTTTCACTTGTTTGCATCAAATTTCAATGAAAGCCTGCTTATAATTTAATCTGTGTGACAGATGGAGAAGAAGACAGAAGTTAAATTAGATGAAATAGTAGTTTTATCTTCACTTAAAATAAATGCTTAAACAAGTCAATGTATGTGCAATGCTTAAGTCTTTAGTTTAATCTGATTGAAAATGTGTGTTTTTATAGTTTCAGTGTTTTGTCTTGGGAGCGTGTTGCTAATGAGGAGATGTGGCAGGCCAGGTACAGTGACGTATGTGCGTGTATACGTGTGTATACGTGTGTGTGTGTGCGTATGTGTGTGTGTATGTGTGCATGTGTGTGTATGCGTGAGTATACAGCCGTGTCCTGTAGTTTCTTGAGGCACACAAAGGCTGAGTCACGATGCATACCAGTGTGCCTGAACATCTCCATAAACCAGTCTTGTGTGCTAGAGCATCTACATGTACATTGAATTTGGTGCTGCATCTACATAAATCACTCCATTGGAGTGGTGCGTCTGTGAGCAGTGTGGATCTGCATGGCTCATCCATCCAGCACTTAGCCCTGAGCCCTGTGTGCTTTGTTTAGGATGAAGACGGCTTTCTTTCTGTTTGACCTGGCAGAGAGGATGATGGGAGAGGCAAAAGCTCGCCTTTTTGAGCTCTCTTACACTGTGAGTGGAACCAAACACACATTCATGTCTGACACAGTCAAAATGTCATGCCAAGAAAAGTATCATTTGTTGTTACATTTACCTAAGCTAAGATCAAACGCTGTGTGTTTGCAGTTGTATAAGGATATCGTGGAGACTTACTCACAGTATCCTTCAAACTGGGACAAAAACTTGGCACTGGCTTGTGAGAGGCTGCTTCGTTTGGGTCATCAGGGCTACAGTGCAGACAGCCTGTTGACCTGCAGTGTGCGGCACTTCCGCCTTTTCTTACAGAAGGAGCCCAATGATCCACAAGCTCCTGCCATACGCTCTGCCATCACCCACCTGAGCAAGGAGCAGGAGCGGCTACGCCAGAGCTCCAGGAACCCCACATGACCAGGATCCACTATGCCTAAACTTATCCAACTGAATAAGGGCATTTTCTAAGGACAATATATTATTGGATGTACAGTTTAACTAAACACCAACTACAGTTGAACAATATGAAGCCTTGTTTAAATCATGTTTACAGTTTTTTACTTTATCTGAGCTCCATTTGACTGTTTCCCTCAAATCACCAGCTCTCTTCATAGTTTCAATGTATTCAGACGTTCTCTCTGAATGTTTCTAACCGAGTCCACACTGACTGAACCCAATTTGAAAGCAGGATTCTGAGTTAAAGTGATAGTTTCTCCTGGAACAAATGCAAATAAAATATCCATATTAGTTTAGATTAGCCTGACATGACAAGAACATGACCTGCACTTTGCAGTTTGTGCGCTTAATTTGAAATTTCCCCACTGTGGGACAAATAAAGGATCTCTTATCTTATCTTAGAACATGACTGCTCAGCACATACAAGGAGCCATATTTGACTTGAGTTAAACTGTTCATGTGAAATATATGGAATGATAAAATATTTCACGGATCATTGGTTATAAAAAATGTTTACTCCTCTTTGTTGACAATCAAAATATGAATTGCAGGATGGCCTTCCCACAACAACCTTGTGTGTTTCAAGCTTTGAACATCAAACTTACAAAATCAGTTAAAGAATTATATACTTCACCAGTGATGGATAGAAAAACTCTTTTATCAGAGACTATTTTATAGTTCTCATGTTTATGCAATAGTGTATGTACGCGCTCTCTGAGTGCACAATCTAGTTACTGGTTGAAATTGTTTTCAGTGTAATTCAGTGGCTGCCTCTCCCTAACCCCTCTGTTCCTTTCCTCTTTGCTGTCTCTGAGTCAGTTGCCCACCCTAGATCAGCAAGCTGCTGAGGATTGTGGGAACCCATGGAATCGCCGTGACCAGGGGAGCAGGCAGGGAGCCACAGCAATGCTGGAATGTGGAGCGTCTGAGGAGATAAGAGCTGAAAACCTAGCCAGAGAGAGGCAAGAGATGGAGAGGAGCTGGAGGAGCTGGAAGTGAGGGGTGGGGGACAGGAAGAGCACAAGTCAATGAATGGGAATCAGAAACAACACCATAAACAGCCACCGAGCAAGAGAGTGAGATACAGAGTGGGGCACTCTCTAGAGATGGGAAGCCAGCCTTATTCTTCTTTGCATTTCATTTACATCCCTGGCCGTATCGACCAATCGGATTGGGAGCAAAGCCCATGGCTTAGGAGGGGAATAAAAAGACAAAATGCCTTTGCTGCTCTCATCCCTTCCTGATAATACCCCTTCTGTTTTTCTTTTCTCTTTCTCTCCCGTCTATAAGTAGATACTGTCCGAAATGCCAAACGAAAACGACACCTCCGCTTGCTGTGTATCTCTGATAGACCAAGTGGGAGCAGGGGCTGAAAAGACAGCTTTAGCAGCAGGCCTATCTCCTCCACTCTCCCTGGCTGGATGGAGGCTTGGAGAGCAGAGAGGGTGGAGTTCGCTGATGTGTTGGTGAATACAGAGGCACACGCACTATTCTGAGTGAGCTGTAGAATTGTTTCCACTGTAAAAGTTTGTCGCAAAAAAAACTCGAAACCTATTTTACTCTTGATGGAGTACATTCGTGGCACAAGTGGTTAAGGAATATGAGCCCTATATTGTGCTGACTCTTTAGTTTGTGGAAAGAAAGTAATTGGGTTTAGAGTCAGTGCTTCGAGTGTATGAGAGTTTGGTTCTACATTAATATTTGAACTACAGGTGAAAAATGTCTCAATATGGTGATGTTCATGGCGTATTTATTATTAAGAGAGGATTTAAAATCATAGGAGCAACTTGTCAGTAGAGCACATTTATTTGTCTGCGGTAATTGTGGGCTCTTATGTCCTCAAAGTCTTCTTTATGGTAAACATGAAATAGCTGAGTCTTTAGAGCATAAACATTTGCTGTTGTTATCTTATATACACACATTTGTTTATTTGATACAGCCCCTTTCCACTACGGCACTTGTGTATATCAAAGACGGCAGTGCGGCGCGTAATTGAAAGTATCTAGCGTGGAGAAAGGTCTCTCTCGGCTTTGACTGTGAAGAAGCAGAAAAAGCCCTATGCTCCACTCTCTTCTTAGATCTATTTAAATAATTGAGGAGTAAACTGACAAATTAGGTACCTTTATAGGCGCCCCGGGGCACTATCTTGGTGCTACAGTTTCACCAGTAGAATAGAGCGCCACAAGGCACTGGATAATATCTCGTGCTTTGAGAAGGAGGGGGGGTGCTTGTGGGCTAGGAGGGGTTTCGCCAATCAAGCAGGCCACACTCGCTCCCCCAGGTTCTAATTTTGTGCCACATTAAAGAGCTCGGCCTCCATTTAGGACACAGAGAGGCATTTTCATAATTTGCCGGGTCTTCTCTAGCTAGGGGTGCATTTTCTGCCTTTCCTCTTCACTCCGTGTCTGAACGGAGGGCCCGAGGAGGGAGACGCCTAATTCACTTGCCTCCTTTCAACCAACCAGCTTCAGTTCTGCATAATGTAGCTGCTAGGTGTGTACAGCAGCTAGTATTTATCTCTTTAATAATTCGTTATTAGACCCTATATTATTTTCCTTTCAAAAGCCAACCACTTCTCATTGTCAGCTATAGTGAATTGTACCATCCCTTCATTGTTGAGACATTAGCCCTCATTTATCCCTCTTATTTCCTGAGAAGAGTTAATGCCTCTAATTTCTACCTAATCTGTGGCCAAACAGCTATGATATCTGCTGAGATAAAACCTTTAGTCTAGTGTACACACTGTATAATGCATAATCCAGGTGAAAGTTGTTCATTTCCCTCTTGCTGACACCACCTATTCATCCACTAAGGCATGCGTGAGCATTGATTCATATGTGATTGGTCACATAATTCAGTCTCGGGGGGCATTTCATTGCTGACAGACAAGCTAATCTAAAATCCTCCAATTTACAAATGAAAATCCCACCATCCAATTGAGCTAATAGAGGGACTTGAATGGGATAATAAGATGTGGTGTAATACTGTGTAAAAAGCCTGTAATGTTGTGTTGGTGTGAGAAGCTGTGTGACTGGATGTTTGACTGTTTGCAGTGATTAGAGGCCCGTGGGCCTGGTTTCAGCTCCGTGCCTGAGACAGGAGCTCTTCTCTGGATGAGGACATACACAGGGACCCTGTAACCGCGGGTACTCTGTCACTTCTGTCTCGTCTCTGTATTCTGTCTATTATTCTGCTCTCTTTTCTTCTGTCTATTCTGTGGACTGTGACCAATGTCTGTACAATGTTTATTTGAACCTTTGTTATTCCAAACCTTCACTGCTGTTGTACATTGTACTATATTACTATCACTATTTGTGGTTGTTAGCATGATATTCATACAAACTAAACTGTAATACGCTTGAATTACACATACAAATATGATTATTTTTGTAATGTATTTTTCCAAATATAAAAGAACAACAAATAACTACAAATAAACAAATAACGAATGGAATTAAAATGAATAAAAAAAGCCTTAATTGCAATTCGCTTTGATTTTCAATATTTTTTTAATTTGTTCTATTATGGCTTGTGAAAGTGTAGTGCACTGAGCAGAGCTGAACGTGACCCGTGCATTTAAAGATGCTGCTCGTCTTGTGATTGTGGAAGATTTTCCAGTTGATAAAATAATTTTAAACTGGCTGAACACGAATTACACAGACACTCCTGGGTGTGGGGCCTTTCTGTGTGGTGTTTGCATGTTCTCCCTGTGTCTACATAGGTTTCCCCCAAGGGTGCTTCAGTTTTCCCTGTTACAAATGGCTCATTACCTATAGAACCAGGATAAACAAGAATATCCATATAACTTGCTTGGGTGAGTGAATAAAGTTTCTATTTGCAGCTGGCAGAATGTTCAAAAATGTGAAACAGTGGCGCTGAAACTGTTTTGTGAAGACTATCGGGACAAGAATGCGATCCTTGTTTTGAGGCATATCTGCATACGTGACTGTCTGTCTGTTCTTCTGTCCATTCCTCTGTTTCTGTCTGTACTATTGCTGTGCTTGCAGATGTGTACAAACAAGGGAGGATTAAAGCAAAACGAATCTAAACAGACAAATGGAATTAGAGTGATGGGTGTCGGTGGGCTGGTTCATACTGATAAACATAATGATGCTCTGTGTGTGTGTTCCTGTGTCTAGAGGATTATCAGTGGTTAGGTGTGTGCTGGGTACGGCTCGCTCACTGCTTTTGGGCGTTCCTGCCTGTTTGCCTATCTGTCTGTGTTTTTGTAATTATGTACATGTATATTTGCTACTTGTGTCCATATGATAAATTTGTTTTTCCTTATAGCCTGACAAAAACAAGACCACTTCTGTTGGTAAGGCCGTTACCATCTTGCCAATCAAATGGATGTTATTATTTGTGCACTTATGGGCCTGTACACCCATCAATTATTGACAAAAGAAATAGCAGTACTGGTTTGGAATGATGAGTGTGTTATTTTTCTACATGGTTAAAAAAAAATACATGATATATTTTTCTAATTCATTTGTTGGATCATTTATTGTCAAAAAAAAAGCAAGAAACCCAACGGTTTAGCAATGACCAAAACTTTTTTACAAAATCTGTCATACAAGATGTGATAAATCAGCATGACATCAAACTCGAAAACTGGAGCTCCATAGATAAGTGAAAACATAATAATACACATTTAATTCCCAAAAAAGATTTAGTGATTTGAATGTGTATCCTCTTACCAGGATACCGTCAGAAACATAGACAATTTTTAATATTGTTTATTGTTGTTTTATTTTACCAGTATGTCTCGGATTTTGCTTCCTTCTCACCGCCTTCTCATCAGTTGAAAGGCAATTTTTAGTTTTCTCAGTAAATAATTGGCTCTGGGCTTGTACAAAAAATCAAAACATCTTTTGAGAGCTATAATCGTGTTATTATTATTTTATTTTTATCTATTTTTTGCAAACAAAGGCTTGGCACTTGTGACTTTGCATGAAAAGAGTCTATATCATTTTTTAAAAATTATATATTAAATACTATCTGTACCCATTGGGTTTCATCTGTTTGTTGTGAATCTGCATATCTTTATCGTGCCCTATGATAGATTAGAATAGAATAAAGTCTGAATCTGAATCATGTCAGTCCTTGGGGGTGAACAAAATGCCTCACAATTGTTGCCTTGTTTCCGTGACACAGGGAGGTGTAACTGAGGAGGTCAGAAGAGTTTTGAGAAGCAGCAGGAGGGATGTGATCAACAGTCTGTGGCTCCCCTGCCGAGGGGCTCAAGGATTAGGGCTAAACCCTGCCACGCCAGATGGGCACAAAACATCCCTAACATCATCCACTAGTACCAGCTCCAGTATCAGGCCGAGCCATCTTCAGTGCAGCTGACCACTGTGCGCCATAGAGGTCAGACAAAGTGCACGTGCAACACATTCGCCTCACACCTGTATAACCGCTCATTCATTCATTCAAATCAATTACATTTTATTCTTGTATCGCTCTAAATCGCTCTAAATCGCAACAATAGTTATCCCGGAGGACTTAACAAAAAACAAGTGTGGACTGCTTGATTTTGCCAACACAGATCAGAGAATCAAAAAGTTCAAACACAAGAAATGCAATGATAAAAACACATAAAGCCATTGGTCCATAAGGGGCAGATATGACCAATGTCCATAAATGTACCTAAAGTCCATATGTTGAATGTTGAGTGTCCTGGATCAACATTACTGTCCCTTAGACCCTCCTGCATCGCCAAGGATAATACATAAATATTAAGTAATTCCATATATTTCATTATTTATTATTATGTCATGTTAGGACTAGAATGTATTCTCTTCTTTCTCTATTCTCTTAAAAACAAAACCATGTAGAGAGGAACTGTACGTTTCATTAGGTCAGCTGCACAGAATACTGAGATGAGGTGGACTCTTCAAAGTCCCAGTTAGTGGACACTATGGCCAGTCAGCATGTTCAAGGTTATCAGAAATGAAACTTCCAGGTTGTTTTGATGTGCTCCATGCAGAGCCACAGGCAACACAGAAATGATAGACTGGGAGTGTAAGGTGAGTCTCCATTGGTTTCAGGCATCAGCTGAGTTTTGGGAGCATGCTGCTCTAGATTTGTTGCTCATAACTCACAGCAAATAACGAAACATGTTTGACTGAATTTATGATTACTTGTCAATTAAAGCTGCGTTACCTAAATGTCTTTTGTCATTGATAATAACTGTTGTTTGGCCCAACTGGAATAGTTTAGTTAAAGTACATTTTCTGTGCAGACCACTGTCTTTGTATGTTTCTTTGGGCAGGGATCTGATTGGCTGAGTCAGGGCAGTCCCCTCTTTTTCACTATTCTGCCTGGAAAAATATTACCTAAAACTTTGACAAAAGCCAAAAAATACATGCACATGAAAACTATAGTACATACATACATTTGTGTGGCTTGAGAGTCAGGTACCCCAGCTTTAACCTAAATTGAGCTTATTTGTAAAACGCAGTTCTCTAGTATTTATGTCTGACTTTGACACGTTCCTATCTACGCCCCTGATCAGTATTTGATGAGAAAGTGACTTTTCAATCAGTCAATCAAACTGTATTTATAAAGCATGTTTCATAAAGAAAATGTAACATAAATAGCTTTACAGTTTAATTAAAAACAATATCATATGTCCATGACCCATTAACCCCAACAGACCCCCCCCAAACCACACAAGCGTATACACGTGCACACGCACACACACACACACACACACACACACACACACACACATATATAAACACAGTCATATCAGATGGCTAAAATAGGTAAAACCATGAAAACATTTAGGGCTCGGTGCAGATTCATCCAACTTATAAATGTCTGTTTCTCTGGCCGAGCCATTTTTCTGACCATTAACCAAGCTCGATGGACATAAGAAGTCACACAAAATGTGCACAATTTGCCAGAAAAATATGTATCTTTGTTCAAACAAACAAACCAAAAGGCATAAGTCCACCTGTAAGAGTCGTGAAATCCTCTGCCTCCATTGTCTTTGCACTCTCTCTGCTTTACTAGAAAGCAGATTACACGAGACAAAAGTGCAAACAAATGAAAGATTACAGAGTGTGCACATGTTCATGTCTAATGCCCTTTCAACAACCACTGCTCAGTACAATGCCTTTTCTCTCCCTTTGCTCCGTTTGGATCTCTTGCTGGCCAGCTCTGACTTCCAGGAGCACAACCTCTGTAATGACAGTGTGTTCCACATGGTTGGCCTGTCTCCTCCACTGGTATTAGTTAGGCTTTAGAGTTCAAGTGACGATGGGCATTAAACACTGGATATTTTAAAGGGGGAAGAGACTCACTGTTGTTCTTGAAAAGCTGTGTTTATCCAGGATTAGAGACACCAACATGTTAATAATTGTTTCTCACAGAACTGCAAAGAAGCACTTTTCCTGTAATCCCCTAATCAGGCATTACACCTCTGAGCGAAGCAGCAGCGCAGGCGCATGGCGTGTGTGACGCAGCAGTGATCCATCATGTCCTCAGCATCCGCGTCTAACAGCAGAAAGAGCTCAGGTACGTAAGTTGTGCCGGTGCAGAGATCTCGTGTCCACAATCGGAAAACCAAGCAACACAAATGACATTTAGTGGCTGTATACAAATCTAGCACTGTTATTGTGTTATTCATGAGACCATCATTCTTCTGTCCAGGAGTGACCATCACAAAACAAGCTTCAAAAGTATCTGGACAGACTGTAAATCCCATTCATTTACTGATATTTGGAAGCACATACTTATCAAAACTGGTTAGAATCAGAATCTTTTTTAATGGTAGTGTTTTGGATAAAGGGACATGGCCATCCACATGTGCAACAGAACAAAGTGATGCCATGTCTCTAAAGGTGTGAGCGTACTGTTAAAGTCAGGCTAAAAGTAGCATTACCTGAACTAACACATTTTTAGGCCAGTGACAATTAATTTCATTTTTTATTTTTTCATTTCATGAAAATGTTGTTGCACTTATCAGCTTCATAACATACATAATATACAGACATTATACATTTGCAGGATACATTTCCATGATTGGAAAGGAGCAGAGAGGAAGAAACAAATTATTATGTTTATCTGCACCTTTAACATCAAACACCAACTTTCTCTGTTATTAGCCCACTGTTGGCCAATCTCATCCTTGGGCTGAGAGATTCATGAACCTTGAGGACAGTGCCATCAATGCATTTCACTTTTCATCTTCTGAACTGGTGATGGCTGCTGGAGTCGGAGTGGGGAGGGGTTGAGGCAACACGTCTGAGGGACTGGCAACCCTGTGGAGCAGTAATTAAGATTGATTCATTCAGCCTGCAACATGTATAATTGTTTTTCTTTTGACTATTATGTCTATAAATTAGATAAATATAGCATAAACTATTAAAGCGTATTTATTCCTCTGTAAACATTAAATAGAATACTTGTGTTTGGCAGCTATGTAGATGCACTGTATACTAGTCATTATTATCATTCAATCAGTGGTTAACCCATCTGGGAGTTCCACCAGAGCAGGACACCCCCGTGTGCCCCACAAACAGACACTTGGGCGGGTGTCTGACTGTCCGGTTAGTGGAGGGGGAGGGGTTCTCGTCCAGTAAATTAAAAAACAGTTGTAGGAATGTGAGCCAGTCCCAGTGGGCCGAGTGCTCTTGGCTGCTCCTCCAGCTCTGACCCTGACCACAGTGAGTCTGCTGTTGGTATTCCACACACAGCTCGGCTCTGGGGAGTGACCCACAGACCCTCCTCGGGGAACGCTGATAATTTAAGTCAAACATGATGTCGCAGCTTGTTTGACACCCATTTAAAGCTTTTCAATCACACATGTTTGCTACAGTCAGCTACCTATGCCTGAAGTAAGCTATCAATGCCACTGCCTTTGCAAAGACCTAATCTGCTTTGTTTGATCAAATGTACGATGTCAAAACAATGGATTTTGAACATTTGCGCTGAAAGCCAGGCACGGCTCTGGTGCTGATTTGATTGACAGATTTTGTAAAGAGCACAGACTGGTCCATTGACTCAGGTTCTTCTTTCCCCTTACCCGGCGCGCCCCTCCTGTTCTGTGTCCGTGTGCCACTAATTAAGGACTTTTTAAGAGGCATGGAGCACACTCATTAAACTGGAGCATCCTCACGTCTATAGAGGAGGGAGGCACACTCAGCCGCAACCCCTAACTGCAAAGTGTGCATTCTATTTGTTCTAGTAAGCTTTTTTTCGCTCAAAAAGTAATTATTTTTTTATCTGAGTTTCAATGTAATGCAAGCCATATTTAATAATTAAGCATTTGTTAATCCGTCATGTTGTTGATTGTTTATTGTATTGTATTATGGAAATGCACAACAAAACAAATAGGCGTGTTTGTCTTTGTGAAAGTAGGCCAAACAACCGCTGACAAACAAAAGGGGGAGTTGTAGGTCAGGCCGCTACAAACCATGTGTAACCGTGCCTGTCCACAAAGCATGACACGCCACACAGCCCACAATAGACCCACAAGACACAGTGATGTAACTGTGTCTAGACCAAACAAAAGCTAGCTGCGTGAATACATGAATATTATTTAGTGGAGACATTAGCGCTAATTGTGGCCCAAACCACAGCTAAGGACCAATGACTTGCTTCACTAGAATCATCCTTAGATCATTTGTGTTCAGAGGAAAAACTCCAAAAACCAGTGGGGAAAAGAGAGACCTCTGAGGGAACCATGGTGAGGGAGAGATCCACTCCCTCAGGCCGACAGGGTTAGGGTAGATGTCCATGCGTGTTGTAATTGTCCTGTTCAGTTGCAATAAAACTTGGTATCATTGTATGAATCTGTTGTTTGTGCGCAAGCCTGTGTGTGTGTGTGGAATTACATAGTGAATGAATAATGTCTACTCTTCATATAAGTATGTTGCATGATCATAATGCAATGTATTTGAGTAGACAGTGGACCTATTAGATCTATTATAATAGTATAATATTTTGTATATATCTATCATTATTGATGCCGTGACAGGAGCTGGTGTGTACCATATCTGTCTGCTGCACACTGGGCTAGTCTTGCACAGTTTTGTGGTTTTACTGCAAAAGGCAAAGAAATTCTTGAATTATAAACAGATAAATGAATCAAACACATTTTGTGAAGGTTAGAATGTGTTTGTAATACTTTATTCACCGGGACATTGATCTACTTTCCCGGACATATGTTAAAAAGTTATCAGCAATCCATATAGCTGTTACATACATTACCATCTTCATTTCAGTCTTGTAACTTCTATGTTGTGTTATTGACTCCCTGTAGCAAAGGTCCAGGTTCAGCTCTGTGGACAGACTGGACATGACCCTTCTGACCTGGACTTGCCCCATGAGCTCTTTGTGTCAGTGCGTCACTCATGTGCAGAGTTCATAAATCACACAGCAGTGTCTCTGGGGGCCGCACCACATCTCTATCTGAAACTGATGTGCCAATCAATCACAAAGCAATTCTTCTATATTCAGATAATAGGTTAATTATAATGTTCCTGTTTCATTCAGCCTTTGCCTGCACACCACATCTTGCCACTCTGCTAGACTGTACCATGTGAGCTAAGGAAGATTGATTGATATTCAAACAACAAGAGAAACAATCACTTTTATTACAACTTTTGTGGTGGTGATGTCCAGTTCAATGTTATTTTCTTAATGTTTTTCACCACAAACGATTCCGTTGTTGTCCTCATTTGACTATAATAGAGTCACACATTGACACACAATCACAGACACTGTCTTTGTGCGCGGCCCTGGGTTTGGCTGCAGATCTCAGGTTGGACACACAGCAGATGCCCCCTGACGCGTACTCACATTAAGTGGGCACGTGATGGGGTCCTGCCAGCCTCGGGGCATTGTGCTGCCACTAAACAGCCCTTTGTTTAGTGCCGGGCTAACAAAGCAGTGGCCAAGCGGCTGGTGTGCCACGCGCAGCCACTCATCCCCTTGTTTGTGACCCAAACAGGTGGATGGGAGCGGGTGGGAGAGAGAGGGAGGGGCTGGTGGGCAGAAGTTGCATCTGTCCCAACGTCTATACTGGGTCAGTCACTGGCCCATATGCCCCTCGAAGAGGGGGAGATTAGAATGAAGAAGAAATGATCAGATGGTTTTGGGAACTGTCAAATTAGCAGTCTGAGGGGAAAAGAAGACTTGACTGAGCCTGGAACATTTTACCTGAAATTATATCCAGGCATTTTTGTCTGGGCCTTTGCATCCGTTTGCACTAAGCATTGTTGCTCTGCTTGCTCCATTTTAAAAAGATTTCAGTCGACACCATTACGCACATTTATAATTTGGCCTACGCCTTTGTATAACATATTTGTATATTGTCTTATATAAAATAATATAACCTGGCAGCTAACTTTAACCCCTTCTTACCTGTTTTCCACAGACAATGAAGTGCTGCACATTGACTTCCCTCACTTTACCAGGATACGATTGGTAAGAATTTGTTTTATTTATTTTACAGTAGATGGGGACATTATACAATATTTTAGGTTGATAAAACCTGTATGTACTTCAAATAGTCTGTTGTCAAAGGGAGGTTGTTTTTTCATTGTTTTGTTTTTTGTCCTGGTCACACACAATGATATTTACTCTGAATGACTAAGAAAACCTTCCCATGTCCTAAAGTATGTGTGTCTTTCTCACTACACTCATGGTGTGGTTCCCCCTCACCATAAGTGGATTGATGTATGTGTGTCAGAATAGTCACATTAACATTTCCCAACAATAAAAACACATGAATGAAATCTACTGCATGCTCTTCACACACAGGTGGCAAAGAGTATGTTTTTTTTCTTGTTTTTTTCCATGGATATTAAAGTGCAATATTTTAGCCATAAAAGTTCTCAAACACATTGTAATTTCAACAAATAACTTAGATAAATATGTGTCATTGCCTTTGATCTTTGATATGGCATTACACTTATCTCCCCAAATAAAATGTTCCTGGACTCACGCTGGTGAACCTAACATAGTGTTGTGTTTGAGATAAGATTGAACGCACAACAAAATGTCTGTAGATTTGAACAAACACAAAATGCTATTATGTATAATTATGTATAAATAATCTGATTATATAAATCTGTGTCAGTTTGTACATGGTTCTGTCTAGATCCTGTTTGTGTTTGTTTTAGTTTGTTTTGTAATAAAAGCCCTTTCTTTCGTTTCGGATGAGGATATTCATCTAATGTTTCTTCCAGTTAGCATTCATTTAAATTAATAACCTCTGTTTTCGAGAAATGTATTCTTCCTTTAAATGTTTTTCCATTTAATCACTATTACATGTTTTTGATTTCATAGTGATTAGATGGTGTATTTAAAAAGTTAAGGTTTGTAGATTATGTATTGTTATTCTCCAAAAACATGGACATCCCAGTTGAATCACTGCAGAGTGAATGGTCCAGGGATTAATAAGAAAAGAATAAATGATGTTGTCCCTCCACATTTTTCTGGAGGTATACTCTTTTAGTTTTGATAAAGCCGCGCAGCCTGTGGTGGTGAGAATATGGTAGAATGGAGAAAAATTGGCTCGCTTCACCATGAAGTCATTCAATTTGTAAGCTATTTGTGATCAAAAGGTGTGTTTGAGGCCATTAACTATGGAGTTTGATCGGGGCTTACATGCTATGTCAAATGTCACTTGTTCCCAGCTTGTTCTGCATTTCTTCCTCTGAACCTTTTTTTGGGGGGACAATGTAATATTCATTGATTGTGCTGGCCTAAGAACGTCTGACAAGATAGAGATAGATATACTCAACATTAGTAGTGCTATATAGTAGGCCTATCGTAATAATATTGTAATTGTAAACAAATTACTATATGGAAAATAATACGAAATTTGTCCTTGTTTTTTTTTCCTTTTTTCTTTTTATAAAATATGCAATGTAGATAAATGATAACACTATACTACATAACTTTGGACATGGGCCATTAGCCAGAAACAAGCCCATTAAAGCCACAATCATCCTGAATAAACGTGCTGGGCATTCAGATCAGACGAGGGGAAATTGCTGTTGGAGATGAATCACTAAAGACCATGGCTTAAAGAGCACTCAGTTTTCTGTTTCAATCTGATTTACGCCAAAGCCACTAACATGTTCCCCTCTTTATCTGACCAGAGTTGACTAACGAGGAAGGCTATTAATGCAACATTGTTCTAACATACGCTGAGATCTGGTAAGCTTCTTATTTTTTATGGACCTTTTCTGGCCTGGGATAGACAACTGAAAGTACGTGCCGTGCGTAAAAGCGGTGTCTCTCCTGCAGTTGAAATAGGCCACTAATAATTCTCCTGAAGCAAATGAGCGCTCATGACAGAACTCATTTCGCAAACCATCTATTTATTTTCTACATTTTTGTGGTGGGGCCGTTGCCCTGTGTGGCCCTTTTTTTTCTTTTTTCTTTCTTTTTTTTTTTTTTTAGAGGGAACAGCTTCTAGAATTATCAGCTGCGGATCTGTGTAAATCCACGGATTTATGTGAGCAGTGTGAGAAATTAAAATAACATGCTTTTTAGTGCGCTTACTTCAAATCTCTTTAGAGTTGATTTAAAAACATTTAAATCTGTTATTCTGCAAACTCCGCTATACAAACCCTTTCAATGTAATCCTTGACAAGATTATCAAAGTAATTGATGATGTCACAAACTTAAATAATTTCATTAAATATTCTCTAAGCCTGGATAAGCAAGAACGATGTTGCTGGATGCGATTAGGTCTATACCCAATATTGACCTATGGTTTTTATTCTTTTCAACACTTACCTCTTCCAGCAACTTGGGCGTAGATTCACTGGCTCACACACAAATGGTCTTTAAATTCAGCTTAATCAGAGAAGAATGCATGGCTTTAAAGGCGTAGACCACGTTCGCGCACATGCACTTATGAGAGCTGTTTACTTGTTGTTATTTTGCAATTACATGATATTGACGTGACATAGGACGTGCCACATTGGAGACCGTATACTGCCAGCATGCAGGCGTTTGTGTGGAGTCCAGATATAGAATTATAGATATAGAATATAGAAATACTCGGGGAGTATATACTGCTGTGGCCCACGACGGGCTGCTCGTGATTAAAACTCGACACAGCGAAGTTTAAACCCAGATGACATGTGCTCTTCAGGGCGATCAGAGCTGTGGATGTGACCCAACTCATGAACAGTCCACAACAATCCAACAGTGAGTCCAAACTTAGAGTCGTGTCAGTGGAGTGCGTGTGATTAAGCCCACTGAGCTTCATTCATATAGAGTAAGAATAGCGGAATAGAAGGGAAGAGAATTAATAGAATATTCTTTTCATATATTTTTTAGAACCAAAGATTTGCCCCTGGGATTGGTTTATCCACCTCCGCCCTCAGACTGCATTTGCTGCTGAATATGAGCACTTGAGCCTTGTTGATGCAGGCACGTACCGCGCACACGCATCCCCAACGCAGGCACCTTACAGCCGCTGCTCGGGATCAAAGTGGCTCTCCTCTTAACGCTTTGATTAGTCCAATAACGCCTTTAATTATAGTGCGCCTCATCAGCCTGACTATTCCTAATGTCAAGTATGCTAATTACACGTTGGACTTCTAACAATTAACCAAATGCAGAGCAACGATGACTCATTAGCCCTGTGCGCACTCAGAAGTATGCCATATTTTTACACTATTTCAAAAGCCGATAGACTTGGCCTGATTTATTTTCCTTTTCACAATTAAATAGGCTAATAAAAATATGTATTTTTACCTAATCTGAATGATCCCGTTGAAGACGATGAAGCCTGGCCTAAAGGTCCCTGCATGTGCAGTCCATTCCATTATTACAAGTTAATAAAAAGTCTAGGCCCGTGAGATAGTCTCTCGGTCGGGTTTAGTCTCTCCTGCCGCCGCTGCCCCTGACCACACACTCTCCCACCGCTGCATATTGGGATTTAAATCTCATGAAGGCCAGGATTAAAATCCTTTCTCTCATTGTTCAAATGAGCTGCCGGAAACCACACGACTCACTGCAGACGCAAAACTAATTTTCTGCAAACTTCTCATCCACACAGTGAAAAAATGCATGTCGTATAAAATGGCTATAGGCCTAGACTTTAACAGCATCAGCGACAGCCCCCTCTTCCACACAGAAGCAGCACAAAAACACGGCCTCTGAATACGTGAATAAGTGAGCGAGCTCAGACCCTTTATTGAAAGTTGGAGCGGTGAGGTCACACCGTCTTTGGACCAGCGCGGATCCACAAAGAGAAGCAGGCCGCGCACTTCTGCACTGGACCAAGCCCTGCACGCATTGAACCGAGTCTGTCCAAAAGTCACTGCAGTCTGGTGCAAGGGGCTCACAAATTGCATACAATACAACAGATCACAGTTTGAAGGCTAGCACAGATTAAAAAAACAAAAAACAAACAAAAACACTGATACCAATTATATTAGACACACACTGATTGTCTCTCAGAAACTACATATGGATTCCTTATAAACACTTTTTCTTAAATAAAGTAGTGCATCCGTGTCCACACAGCGACCTATGTCTTTGCCGAGTACAGATTTGTGTGGCCCCTCGGGGCCCTCTGTTTTTCATACTCTTATTCCTTGGCTGAGGTGCGCTTCAACAGGTGTGTCCTGCAATGTGCATGGTGCACATTAATAAATTATAATCTCCTCTGGAGCTTTGCTCCGGGAGCCTTGTGTCGTTAGTTCGTGTTTACTACACTGTTCACAGAACCTGGAATTTCCACGAGGACGTTTGGTCTTTATAATCCAAGCAATCCGCGTTGAAGTTGAGTTTCCAGGACGCTGCCTGGTCCTTGTAATCCAAGCAGTCCGCAGTGGAGTTGAAACCTAGTCCTGACGTCCCGTAGCCTTGAG